GGTCGTACATATATATATATACTTTTAAAATAAAGATATTTCAGTTTTTATTTAATTCAAATTTCAAAGTTCAGATTTTCAAATTTTTTTAGAACCAAAACATAAATGAGACAAAGTTTTGAACAAAATGTTTTTAAAAATTTCTTCTGTAGCTACTGAAAAAATTAACATCATATTGGCCTTTTTTTCATAGAAATTGCATACTACTTAGATTTCAACACTACGTTGGAACTCTTTTTAAAAAATGCCTCTTTCTACCTCGGCAGTTGTAGGACGCCTCCTGACAGTAACATAGTTGCCTCTGTCATTGTCAGCTATGGCATTGGGCCGTCTAGCTACAAGGCGTACACCTTGTCCTACTCTTTGTTCTTCAGCGATCTTGTCAACTGATTGCCCTTGTCCTGGTCTTCTTCTCACAGCCACCCTCGATTCTCCGTTTCCAGCAATATTTGATGCGGCGACTACAGGATTTGCTAAAAAAAATATGTGGAATGCAAAGAATAAGTTAACATTCTTATGTCATAAATAACAAAAAGCATTGTTGGTAACATCTATTTATAAACTGAAATTAGTCTATTAATCATATACAAAACTACAATTTTTAAGACAATTTCTACAGTTTAAAATACAACAGTTCTCGGCATAATTGAAACTTAGAATTTAACTCAAAAGTTTAGAAAGAGTTTTTAGACAAAGTATCGTTTTCACGTTTACATGAAAAGAAAGCCATAAAAACTCATCGTGGTACACTGAACTACTCTGAGCTTCAAGCCGTGGTGACTCAGGGGATAGAGTGCTCGCCTCCCAACGAGTTGACTCAGGTTCGAACCCCAGCAATAGCTGGTGGATACTTATTCTTCACCCTGCTCGTATCAACCACAGTGCTGAAGTAAAATATCTTCATGGATCATGGGTTAGTTCCCTTGCCGTCAAGCTAACCGTGGGTGTTTTACGTGATTTTCCTCTCCATGCAATGCAAATGCACGTTAGATCCATCAAAAAGTCCTCCACGAAAGCAACTTTATCCCAATGCTTGATCCAGGAGTTCTCTTTTCTTTTAGGTTGAGTTCAAAAACTATGGAAGCTACGGAGTCAAAGTTATGGTGCTGAACATTAATAGTCGTAAACTCAGAATTGGGTCAACTATTCACCACTAGTTCCAAAATAAAATCATTAAATGCTTATTTTTACTATTTAAATCAAATTGCAAATTATTTTGTTAATTTTGTTAATGAAAACTATGTCATATGACTTCACATTTTTTTCAGTCTTTCTAGATAATTTGCCATACGAACAAAATGTTCCCAAAATCATTAATTATAGTATTTTACGAATTAAATCAGAGCGTATGATATATTAAACATTATAGTAATATTTAAAATATTTTCAATATAACTAATTCGTATATTGTGTGTTTTATTAAGTTTAGCAACTGCAGTAGAGCTCCCCTAAATACTGTTCTGGCATTCTGTCTGTTCTGGCTATCTACACTGTTCTGGCATTCTGTCTTGATAGACAACTCCGTATGAGAATGATATTTTATTCGAATTCTTAACATTAGATAGGTTTGAATAGAATTTTTCCAATCTATTGTAATAATAAAATCATTCATAAAACTAAAGAAAATCAATATCTATTATATCTGGCTAATTTTCCAAAAAGGTTTTAACTAAAACACTTTAAGTTATATTCCAACTTTAAATGAAAATACAAATACATTTTACTAATTTATTAAAAACATTAACTTGACGTGTTGATAGATTTTCATTGAATTAACTCCAAACTTAAAAAAGGGTACCAAAAGATGAATATGAAATTAATATGCTGGAATGTGAAACTTAATTCGCCATTATACTTCCTAATGCATGCTATGAACTGCTTTGGATCACAAAATATCTAAAATCCACAACCGAAAACTATAAGCAAAGTACTTAGGAAATACCTCAGATCTTTTAATAACAAAATTTCATTACTTCTTGTGGCTTGAATTGTTGATCCCGACAAGCGACCATCTTCTCTGCTAACTGCCCTTCCTGTCACTTCACTGACTGGTTCTTCGGCTGTCGGCCGTACATCGTCTTCAGTTGTAGTACGGTTAGATCCTGCTGGTCTTACTCTAACAAGCATTCTTCGTCGCCCTACGTGTGGACCAGACTCCACAATATTGTTTCCTACATTCAAAAAAAAAGATTTTTAATTCAAATTCATAGTTGTTTGTTTCATTTTTCTTCCGAAAAATAATCTTTTTATTGGGTACTAGTTACTACTATTTCGTATGTCACAAGTAGTTTGGAATGGTTCAGACCTTTTGCGACATAAGTTTGATAGTTCCAAATGTCTTTTTTTTTAACTTTGAAAAATGAATCTAAATTTCTCTAACAAAATAAGAGGGATGATAATAGCTATGCATTTTCCATGTATGGTAGTATTTAGTATGGTACGTATGGCGTCACATTCCAATCTAAGAGTCAGAAAAGAAACAAGTCAAAACGCATCGATCATAAAGACGACACCTCTGACGTCATTTTGTACCTGCCTGTAGTAACATATTTCTTATGCAAGCTATCTTCAGCGTATGTGAACTCTCGAACGACACGTGAGGCCATTACTTTGAGCACTTGCTGTATTTTTCAGATAAATAAATCAGATCGTACAACTTTTGGTATAGTTTTGGTATATATTGACTCAATTTATTAATTGTTGCTCGTCTATATGGTACTATTACCTCTTTTATTTAGTAAAAATTACTTGGATTCACCCTGTGAACACTGTTAGTAATGTTTGAATCAAATAAAATTGCAATTATATTTCCTTTCAAAAACATTTTCTCAAGTATTGATATTTTAACCGTTAAAATAATTCCGTGTTTGAAAATTCCTTTGGGATGTACCTTATTTTTGAACAAATTTCTTATTTAATAATATTAAAAAAACAATTTGTGGGGAAGCTGTCAGGAAAATCTGTACATCTTGGATCATCGTACATAGTCAGGAGCATCTTCACTTTTACACCGATTTGTACATCTTGATGATGCAGGCCAATCATTTAAGCCTATAAGTAGTTTAATATACTGTTTAAAGTTGAGGCTAAATGTCTCGATTTTAATCAACGACCACTGACTGGACCATGGACTCTTAAAGGACGAGAAAAATCCATCAATAAAAGCCTCGACTCCACTATGTTATCAAAGATAATCTGAAGCTTGTGTTGTAGTGTGTTGTCGTGTCGTATTGTCTGCCCGTTACGTGATAGATCAAAGCTGACTGAGACTGCGTATCTGCACCTCACCATGCATATTTCTCGACATTGCGAGAGGTCTCCTTTCCATAGGCTGCCATTTATCCCTTTTAAGTTCAAACCCAGTCACCAAATGATATGACACACGCTGAAGCAAAGCTTTAATATGAGGACTTCATTACAAGTATCATTAACTTGCCAACGATATCCTGCGACAAAAGGCAGAAGACTATGCTGGTAACCATATTGAAGAAATGTAATATAATTTCGATTGTGCGTTCATTAAAATAATGTTTTCCAAAGATGTTTCCGTTACTTTATTTACAACCCTCGAATGAAATGAAAACAGTAGAGTATAAAACTAATGGAAGCTACCTGTTTGGGGTGGTTGGTTTCCGTTTTGTACTCGAACTACCCTACCGACTTGTACTCTGATAGGGGTTCGATAGGGTCCTTTGTCGGGTGCGGCAGTTGTCGAGGATGATGTAACAGGTGATGAATATCTAAGAGGGGCTTCGTATGGTGCTACATCGGGTACTGGTCTTTCAGAAATTTCATCCTTAACATAAACAACCTATAAAAGAAACCGTAACAACTATAGTTTATATGGTCAGAAATAAAACAAAATATTCATAAGCTTATCGGCAAAAATCTATTAACCTTTAGGTATTTTTTCATATTTTGAAAATATACTGGCAATATCTTTCAATTTGCATATAAATAAAATTATTAAACAAACTATTAGATTTTTATTGATAATTATTACTTCAGCTTTAAATACCTAAATTAATTATGTACAATGTGCCAAGCTTCGTAGTGCAACCTCAAATGAAGCATCATATCTCGAAAAAAAAGTTTTTGCTGTATACGAGCTCAAGGGTATCATTTGAAATTTTGTACTTACATTCCAGTGTTAGAGGTTTTCCTGTGCAAATTATAAATGCCACAAATCGAGAAGAGTTGTCTGAACAAAATTATTTTTATGTAAATAAACTAGTACTGTGCTACTGGCCTAAGCCAGTTAATTAACACTTTTTAAATAAAACAATAAAATCCAAATAATTAAGTAATAGGTAATATAAGATTTAAAAAAAATAATAATGCATTTTCACCTTTTAATACAGAAAATTACCTGCCTACGCATAGTTAGCCTAAATGAATTTGCTAGTAATAAATAAATTTCTTGAAAAGTTTAAATACAATCATGAATATTATATTGAAATGTGGCTGGGTGGCGCAGTTGGTTTGTCGTCGGCCTTCTGAGCCCAAGTCTGAGGGTTCGATCCCCGGCCCAGACACCAGAACTTCCAGATGCAGAAAATCCTCGGCGGCCATGTTGTATGATTATGCGGCATATAAAAGATCCCCTGGAGTGCCTTATTGGCTCTTGGCATTTCCGGCAAAATTAAATTCCTTGTGCACTTTAGCATCCAAATAGAGTCTCGGTGCTGCCATCTAGTTTGGCAGAAACTAGACGTCCAAATTAGCATGACCAACTGTATCTCACCCATTGTGGTTGTCCTGAAAGAGTGGATACCAGCTCTGGAGAACGCACTAGGTCTGCTCATCGGGAAGACTGATTGTGCAGCTCATAGGAAATGTTAAAAAAAATATTATATTGAAATTATCTTTTATTACTATATTTGAAAAACGTATTGATGACATTTGTAAATAAAAACGTAATATAATGCAAATGCAACCAAAATTTCCTTAAACTATATAGCTTGTTAAAACAATTTTACTGTACTTAATTAAAATCGTCATCGACTTCATTGAAGCCAATGTAGTTTGTTAAAAGTTGCACTCAGCATTTATACCTGACATGATACATTATTAGAGAATTTAGTTGTATTTGCATCAAAATCTTTAAACCATGTTGTCAGGATGGTTTGCTACCTTATAAAAGTTTTAATTTTAAAGTTAGGCAGGAAAATTTTTATATACAAGTTTAAAAATCATTCATTTACATAGACTCGACACCATATTGAGGTCAAAATAACAATTTTAAAAGATTTTGAACCAAAATTTTTAGCAATGTGTTTGATACCTTGGATTTTTTTTCTTGCTTTAAATCAATTGATAATACTTCCCAAGTAGTAAGCTAAGCATTAGATTATCTGAGAAATAAACGCATGGCTGAGAAATAAGTGCATAGTTATCTATCTAAGAAATAAGCTAATAGTTGGCACATCCTATAATATATTGCTATCGAACCATGACTTATTGTACAAAACTTTCAGGGTTTCAAAACAAAAGGGATCTTTTAAGAATATTCCATACTTACTTCGGGTTGAACATTAGTGTTTTCACGTGGAGGGGTATTATAGTGGAACGGGAAGTCATCGATAGCATCATCAACGTCGGGTTCACCTTCCTCAGCTCCTCCAAAATCATATGGATCAGGGAAAAGTTCTGGTTTGTGCTGAGGTTGTCTTTTAGGCTGTGTAGCTGGAGCAACTGTTGAAGATGGTGCTTCATAAACAGGTGGTAGTACTGGCGATATCCTGCAATAAAGTAAATTAAAACATAGATGATTACACTTTTAAATGAAGTAATATATTTTATTTAAATTAAAATTTCGCCCCTTAAACTATATATCATTTTAATTTTTAACCAAATCATTGTAAGAAATATACAGGATGTTTCATCATTACCACCCTTAACTTATATTTTTAAAATCCTTGTGACAAATGAATTATTTTAAAAAATTTCGCGTGTCAGGGCTTAATATTACACATGTTGTTTGAGATTAATATTTTAAGTAAAGGATTCCAGCATTACGTTAAATATTATTCCGCATACATAATAGCAGACTATTATTTAATATGATAGCCCATTGTGAGCCCAGTGTGGATCTTAAAGCTAGATATTTTCATGACCAACAGCATGGTGATGGAAATGGGGTCAGTTATTGCAAACCTTCCACCTTTATTTACCAGACAAGCTGGCGCCATAGAACTATAATCTAAGAGGAGCGAGCGCTGCATGAAAAGTTTCGTCCTCAAAATGAAACCACGTAATTACCTACCGTTTCTCATTGTTACTTCAATGGAAGAAAATCTATGAGGGAATTTCAAAGCAAAATAATCTTAAGACATAGAGATTTACTGTGCTGCAATTGGCTGTCCAGAAAAACTTATTGAAAAGGCACCTTATACATTTTATAAGTAAGTTGACTTATCACATTTTGGAATTACAATTGCCTTATTAACAATATAAAATGAACTTTGAGCATGTGCTTCTTTTTCCTAAAACACCATATTAATCTCGATTGTTCAATTTTAAACATTCTAAAATCCAAATTTATAGTTTTAAGACTATCTCATAAGTAAATATAACTGAATACGAACACAATCATAAAGTAATGATTATATATAGAATTAAATTGAGAGAACAAATTGAGAAAACTAGCAGTGATATTAGCTAATTAACCTTATCATCGATGTAAAGTTTAAGTAAAATCGAAAAGTATTAAAGAGGGAAGCGGATCTTAAGATTAGGCAGCACTTTTTTATTCTCAACTTTACTTCGTTTTTATTCTCAACTTTATTTAACTTTATTTCGTTTATTCTCAACTTTATTACTTTATTCCTGACATCAGTGAAATCATTCCTTGTAAATGTGTTCTAAAAATTTCTACTATCTGGGAAAATATTCGTTATTTTACAAGATGTTGCTCTATTGTAAAATCTTTGCAGGATGAAAATTTAAAATTGTTTTCATACCCTACAATTATTAGACAAGGTTATTATAAAATAACTGCAAATGTTTTGAGCCTCATAATTAAAAAAACTATTGAATCAAAATGTAATAAGTTCTCAAGATGCATTTTTACCGTTTTTAAAACCATTCAAAAATCATTATTTTTTTAATTTTGGGTAAGCTTAAACAATTTTGTACAGTTTACACATAATTCTTAAAAAATTAGAACTGTAAAATAACCAATGGTCTAGCAAGATCTTGCTAAAGAATGATCCAATATTTTACTGTTCAGGAAACATCAACACCGTTGAAGCTCTAAACTTTGTTCTCCTCCCTTGTCTTTAAAAGAAAATCTACCAGAAAAGGAATCTTGCCTCCTCAACTGTTAATACCTATTATTTCTGATCTATGACTGGTACTTATCTATCTGAAACAGCTAGGCTTCAAGCCCCGATCAGAGTCACTCTCCAGCGCTTCACACTTAACCGTTAAGCTATTGTGATTCAAATTAATATTTTAACGAAGTGAAAAGCAAAAGCATCATACAAATTTGACAAATAATTAATAAGGAAGGTGAGAATATAAACATCAAAACCTGTTTTACGAACTGAGAAAAGTAAAGGATGTTCGGAAAGGCGATTATTCGGAACATTCTCAAATTGATTACGGTAAATTTAGTTCAGCTGTAATTTGTAAAAATAACTGAGAAATTAGTTTTGTTAATATTCCATAGAATATAAAGAAAAAATTGTAATTTACATGTTTTCTGGTATTTACTCTTTGTTATTTACCTATTTCAAGAAGTCTAACATTATCTACATAGATTGTTATAAAGACTTTAAACAATGGCGAATTCCACTGTGATAGTTATAAAAATTAGCATTCTGTTTCAAAATTTAATCTCAATATTTTAATATAATTAGAATAGCCAGGAAAAAATAAGCTTTAAAATTCATAATATGGCATAAATCAATCTCAATAGCAAAATTTCAATCTGAAGAACGTGAAAAAAAAGTGAGGTAAAAAGAGTCAACTCTTAAATTTTATTCACCTTTTGCAAAGGATGCAAAGAGCATTTTTTTTTATTGAAAATTAAAGTAGTCTTTTATGAAAATTTCTAACTAACTCTATCAATTGAAAAAGAAAAGCAATTTTAAAAAATTTTTCTAGTCACAGATTCTCTTTCCCCTTGTTAAAATTTAAACATAGACTCCTGTGTTGTGTTTTAAAATTTTCCCTGCATCTGTAAGAAGATTTTCTGAATGTATATTAACGAGAAATAAATATTTACAGTTAGAAAGGAAAAAAAGCAATGAAATAATAAAACATTAAATAAGTTTTCAAAAACAATTTAAACTGAAATGTTCGACTTTGGACAAACATTGAATTAATAGCTCACCTTTTAGGAGTGTCATAATTCGGCAAAGAAGGAACTGTGTCGTGACTCCTTATGCTCGATGCTTGATCTTGGGCTCCTAAGATACTCTGAAGGCGCTCAACTCCTCCTATCGCTTGTAGGAGTCGGAGTAACTCTGCTACATTTCCTCCCCCTTCCGGTGTCTCCTCCTCTTCTTCTTCCTCTGAAATGTTTACAATTTCACTTCATAACCAACAAATTTTAAATTAGTACATGAAAATTGGGTACTTCCGACTCGAAAAAAGGTATAGTGATTATACCTAACCATGTGATTTAAGTCAGATTTAATTGGACTACGCCTAAGGGTTAAGAGCCATAACTTATAAAATTATGGCTCTTAATATATTGATTTTGAGATAGTTTAAGTTATTTATCACTAAATGTAATTGTTTATCTTACCTGGTTCTTCAGTCGTGGTTGTTGGTGGTTCAGTGGTTGTAGTCGTCGTGGTTGTGGTTGTTGTCGTTCTGCTTCGAGGTCGTGCTGTCGATTTCGCAGGTGAAGCACCAGTGGATCCCACTGGACAAACAACATTTTCAGGATAATCACAGGACTCCGAGTTCGAATTAAAATGAAGCCCTGTTTAAAAATTCATGAATGACAGTTTTTAGTTTCGTTATAAAAATGAATTTTGTTAAAACAACAAAAAATTTTAATTTTAACGATGCATCTAGATACTTCAATACCATCACTGCAATTTTTGTTTAGTGCTGCTAATATTTCAATAGAATTTTTTGGTTTGTACTTCAGTTTATTAGAGATTGAATTATGTTATTTTTTTAATTATAACAAACATGCAATCTGCAATATAAATTGTATACAATTCTACAATATTTAACATTAGTTGGAAATTAACAACATTTAACTACAAATCTGATAAAACTCAGCAGTGCAGGTATTAACTGCACTAATTGCAATTTTAACAAGTATTCGATTTCACGTTTTTATTCTGTTATAAATTTATACTTTATTAGAGAGGATTTGGAGAGTTAATCAATCGCGGCCTACTACTAGTTCTTGAAGCTGGGGACTCGTGATTAGGGGTGCTGTAGAGGGCCATCTTTGCCATGAAGCCATCCGTTTCTCTAGTCACGAATATCTTAAACCGCTAGATGTCCCAAACGGTGCATAGGTGCGGGGCCCTGAGCTGGTGTTGTTGTTGGTGGTGCGTCTTGAAATATTTTAATAATAAAAACAAATTAATGAGATTTGATTTGCAATTTTATGAACATCGTTTAGTGCAAAAATGTTTTAAATAATAATTAAAATAAATATAATTTTAAAAAATATTAAGCATATATTTCGCCTTTAAAAAAAACTTTTTAGACTTGTCAATTAAGAACAATTCTTACTATTAATATTTACAATTTTCCACCATTTACACTACATTATGTTAACACATTAACCTACTTATATTGTTTCACAAAGCTCAGACAGTTTTGACGCATAAAAATATTTCGAACATTTCGTGTAGCCGATATGCTTTCTGAAGTATTTTTTAAATACAATTTTAAAAAATATATATAACAGATCAAGTAAGAAAATTCGAAATTGAATACCAGCATTCCAAAATAAAATTAACTCTATCACTTAATACTAAAAAATGAAAATCCTCAAGTACATATTCTATAAGTAATAAGGCTAGCGAAAAGTGCCAAACATACCCCATTTTGCAAGAGAGCCTAACTAGCTTAAAAATCATGAATTATAAAATTTATTAAATTAAAAAGATTAATATTTGATATTTATCACCTGGAAAGACTTATGTTATCCTGCAATTTCTTACTGTTAAAACGCATATTTATTAATGACAATCTAGAACATGTTTTTTGTTGCATTTATACAAATACTTATCTTGCCTGATTCGGGTGGGGGATTTCAAATCTGAAATTAATTTTTTTTCTGAAAGCTATAGATTATTTTAAAAATGACATTTTTGGTCTATTTTTGTCGAAATGCACAAGTTTAAAAACGTTATATATAACAAGGGATTGCGTAAATGACGCAACAAACATCTAGGGGAGTTAGAGAACTATATCAGCCTTAAAATTTCATTAGAGCACATAACTGGAAATGTCGTCGTACGTGGCTATGGGAGTTTTCCTATTCATGACCTGTTCAGAAGCACACGAAGAAACATTTCATAATAAGGAAGTGCCTTGGTTGGCGCATAAAATTTCCGGGCATGTTTAATAATGCAATTTTAATCCAGATGATGTGACCTAACTCTCCTAGACGTTTGTCTCAAAATTTAAGCGATCCTCTATTATGTATAAAGTTTTTAAGCTTGTACATTTCGATAAAAAAGGAACTAAAAATGTAATTGAAAAATGTAGCTTGGAGAAAGAAACCGAGTGCAGATTTGAAATTAGCGGTACAAAAGTATTTAAGATCTGTGCAAAAATTTCACGCTACAGAAAACTAACTAATTTCACACTTTTATTTCTGTATTCAATAAGCTAAACCTTTATTTAAAAAATTCTTAAACTACAATAAATTGATAAGTATGTAAGTTTCTAAAACTCGAAGCTAAATAGGTTCTAGAACGTGCGACGGTTGAGATATTTTCTAATTTACCATAATGAGACAACAAACTTAGTTCAAAGACCTAAAAAGGATTTATATGATATCTTTTTTTAAACTAATTCATTCATACTTTATTCTGAATTTATTATTGAATTTATGGAATATTTCAGTACCTGAAGGACAGGTGAAAGCATGAGCTACCACACCAAGATTCGCCGGACCACTGTCCAAACACCAGAAATATTTCCTGCAGTCTTTGGGGTTATTGAAGAAGCCTTCGTCCTTACATTCAAAGGCTACACCGGGGTCTGGAGTCGGAGGTGGAGCTGGAGTTGTAGGAGTTACCAAAACTTCATTTTCCTCGGCTTCTGTGTTTAAGCGACGAGACGAAGTTTGCCTGTATGAATGCAACAAAGACTCAATTGTTATGCAGTGTCAGGCCACAAATGTGAACAGCAACAGGCAACAAGAAAAATTATGTATATTTTTTCTTATGTTAATTGGAGCTTTTTAGCATATAAAAAAAGGCAAATCAATGTAAGAAAAATTGTCTCTTAACGATCTTTGAAAATGCAGCTTGGTTATATTAGTGTGGTTAAAATAAATTAATAGAAAATTGCGCGCTATATTACTGTTTCACTATATATTTTTCGAATGAAAAATAATTTGAAAAATTATTCTTCTCCTCTTTTGTCAGCAAAAATAAGCAAATGACCTCCCTCTCCTTGAAAGGTGCTTACATAATATTTGAATGCGCCCCAATAAAATTAAAAGTAAAGTTTGAATAACGCCAAAAATAAGAGTAAAAGATTAAGTAATATATTGATTGATTAATATGCAATGCAATCAATATAGAACTTTGCTCCTAACAAAGATTGACACAAATTTGCATCTAAATCATTATTATTGAATTATTTTAACAGTGCACCCAGAGACATTTTGATAAAATTCCTTAATTTTTATCCCCAATTTTTAAAACAAATGTTGAGATTCTTAATTATTCTTAATTATACGAACCTGTCTCTCGAGGACTGTCTGTTTTGTACCAATCTCCGAAGAGTGTTCCGCCTTCTGGGTGCTTCAGTGGCCTCTTCATCAGTTGCATCATCATCAAATCTGACAGCAGATGACCTAGGTTGTGGACCAGCTGATCTAGCAATAGATCTCTGACTCGAACTGCCCTCAATGAGATTTGTGAGCAACAGAACCTCTCTCAGGGTATTAACGAGAGGACTTTGCTCCCCTGTGCAGAGACCTCTAAAATCATCATTATCAAGAGTCCACACCATGGCACCTCCTAGTTTTTTATCTAATATGTACCGAGCCTATAGGGAAAATAATCGATTACAATCAATATAAATCAATGTGCAACATACGCATACGCAACTTGGAGCCCAACTTCCCCCCCCCCCCAATATTTAAAATTGGAGCCACTGTGACTCAGGGAATAGAGCGTTCACTTCCAATGTGGTAAATAAAAATATTCAAAGTTGTGGCGAAATAACAATTCAGGTAAGGTTAATTTTGTTTGCACTTAAAATCTTGACAGCATAACTTTTAGGTCTCATATATTTGTCAAAATTGTTTGTAGAGAATGGTGGTCAAAATTATTATATTGAAAAAAAAGGTTTTTTAAATTAAAAATAATACGCGCGTATGCTTAATTTTGGTTGTATATACGTTATATTTTGTTTAAAACCATATTATTTATTAAAAACATTTTTGCTTTTCATTATTTTATTAAAGTAGTTTAATAGAAAAATGTGTTTTAGTAAAAGCTTACTGCTGTTTTTCAAAAGTTGATCCTTTTCAACTAAAATGGCTCTTTTCAACAAATATTTCAATTGATTAATTTTTACACTATCAACAAATGAATAAAAACATTGAAATCATTTTTAAAATAAATATTTCCTGGAAAAAAAGAGGGGAAATATTTTATTCAAAATTTTGAAGTTAAAAATTAAAGCATATAGGTGTATTTTTGATTATTCTGAATAAAAATGTGTACTGTAACCCTCCACATCTTATTTTTTCCATTGTAATTTTAATTAGTATTCTGCTTTTTCTAACATCATGACATTGCAATAATTTTTCTTAAAACATAGTTTTATTATTCAAATATATCTTCCATAAAATAAAATAAAACAAGAAACAGACTGCTGAGACTGAAAGAATTAGGAAATTATTATGAAAAAAATGCACATTTAATTGAATGAATCCAATCTTAAGTTAAAATAAAATCAATTAATTAAAAAATGCACGGAAATCATTAAACTCATTCACATAAAAAAGTCAAACAAATGTATTTAAAGTCAACAAAGTCATATTCAAGTGTAAAGTCATGTAATGCATGTTTACTATTTTATAAGCACCATATTTTCCATACATAAACAAAATTAGAAAATACAATTAGAAATTAATTCTAATCCTTAAAGCTAACAGCAGGAGTTGTTTTTGCTGAGCTCTAATTTCTCTCTGCAAATTAGTGACATGTCTGGTTTTTAAAATGTTTGAAAACAAAGTAAAATAAAAATTAAATCAAAAGTATTACATTTAATTTAAATACTTGATTTTACCTTATTAAATACCATGTCCTCATCATCAAATCCAACCCATTGATTTTCTTTGTAAGCATAAGGTCCTATAAGACTTGGTGATGGGGCTTCCACTTCCCAATCATCTTCTTTTACTTTCTGACAAATCTATTTCAATTTGAATATAAATCACATTTAATTAAAGGATGTTATATCCTTTAGAGCTATGAAATATATTTAAATAATTCTAGTCAGTATTTTTTAAATATTATTTTTACATTTCTCCATACAATAACCAAATGTCCCACACGGGGGGACAATTATTCAGTTACATAAAATTAAAGTAATATTTTAAAAAAGCTCTAACTACTTTAGCCAATTTCAAAATATAACAACCGATTTTCTGATTTATTTTATGGCATGGCATTCAATATGCAGGCGAATTTCGTAATTCGTCAAAACTCGCTGAACTCGACGCTGAATTCGTCAAAACTCGACGCTTTCGATTACTAAAAAGCAGTTTTCATTTTAGTAATGGTTTTGAGTTCATTTACATCAACTTTGTCTTTAATATTTCCCCACAAATATTAATCTCAAGGTTTGAGATCAGGAGAATAAGGTAATCTTGATGATCGGTATATACTTACAATACTATATTTCAATATTTTCACAGAAAAAATTAACAACAATAAGAATGCGCATGCTCAACAAGAATCACGAGATACCCTACATTTAACCACTTTTTTTTTACAGAATATTGCCAAGGGTTCAAATGTCATTAAAAATTTATTTTCGTGTAGCTCAAAAATTTTCACCCTAAATATTAAGATTGCAAATTGCAAGCAATATTATTTCTAATTATCTAAATATTCGAAAATGATAGGTGATACTTCATGTTATGTAAACTTTAAAAAAAAGGAAAAAGGAAAAAAACAAAAACAAAAACGTGAATAAAGTTGCAAAGTGACCAATAGAAGATAAGAAACAGGTGTGAGGGGACTTAGCGAGAACCCTAGGCAGCAAACGTTACGAAGCGGTATGATACTAGAAAAATAATTTACTAAATTATTAACATTTTTCAAAGTATCGTTTGATTCCCGAAATCAAGCAGCCTATAATGATTTTAGTAGAAGAAAACTCAAATTTGTGATAAGAATTCCAAATAAATGTAATAATTGAACACTGGTTAATATCCTGATTCGGACAAATCTTTTGTGTTCTCTAGGTTGAAGTTTAATTTTACGTATAGTTTGTCCAATATAAGAAAAACCATAACGACACGAAATTTGATAAATGCCCTAATTATTAATATCAGGAATAGAGTCCTTACGTTTGGTGAAATTTAGTTTATTGACAGAGGAAAAAACGACTTAAAACTCAAATTCATTCAAAATCTTAGAAACTTGAGGACTGACTTTCGGATAGTTAGGTAAAACAATCGAATTGCTTAAGCTAGAGAATTTGATGGATTGCGAGATTAATTTTCTTTCCATGAAATCAATAATATTGGAAGGAAAACAGCGATAGCTTTAAGGGAAAAAAGCTCTTCATTGAGAAGATAAATATTTAAATAAATTTTAAAAGCTTAAGAGTGAGTAAGGCAGCTGGTTAGGGAGATGGGAAGAAAGATCATGAGGGGAGGAATATAAACGCAAATGGTTTTTTATAAGCAGCAGTGTGGAATTCATTGCAATTATGAGTAATAATTGCAATAAATTTCTCACTCATAATTGCAATGATTGATTCGTTGCAATTACGAGCATTGCTGACGAAATTTAGTTATTAGACTTAAAAATCCAATCGCCACAGCCAATTACACTTGTGTCATATAAAAAAAAATAGCATAAAATACCCTACTTCGTAAAATGCAAGATATCCCTTTTCTCTAGTAGCTGCACCTTCCTCGCCGGGGCCTGTTGATGGAGCATCGTAACTACTTGCAAGTTGAGGACTAGATAAAGTAAAAGATCTGCCATACATTGGAATCCCAACAATCAGTTTGTGGTTTGGTGCACCCAATTTCAAATAATAATCCACTGTCCATGCCTATTTATAAGAAAAATATTAATAAATAATTTATATATATAAATCATGTATAAGTTTTCTTAGTTAAATATGTATGATATTTTTTTCACTTATTATTACTAAAATATTTAAACAGCTGCGAATTATTTTTATATGAACAAATAATTTAAATATGGACAAGTAATTAAAAAAGTAGCGAACGACAAAGGTTTAGACAATATTTACAATTACCGTATATCGGGCCGGGATAGCCTGGTCGGTAGGGCGCTGGGCCCATATCCAAGAGGTCGTGGGTTCGATCCTCGCCGGCCGAAGACTCCCCGTGTAGTAAAATGGTGACTGATGCACGTTAAATCTGTCGAGTCTCAAAGTCCTCCATGTTCCCACAACAAATCAATACCTCTGGGGGTACTGATCCAGGAGTTTCCTTGTCTTCTGGATTGGTTCAAAATTACAAGGCTACGGAGTTGAACGTAAGTAGTCGTAAACCCATGAAATTGGGTCGGCTGTTCAACGACGGTTATAAAATAAAAATAAAATTACCGTATATCCCGGTGTTTAAGTCGACTTTTCAACCGCCCAAAAGTTTACGAAAATCAGGGAGTCGACTTACAGGCCGGCAATATTCGTTATTCGGATAAAGTCGGATATTCGTTAATTGAGAAACATCGATGAATTATAAACAATGAGATAGATGTGAAAAACTTTGTATCAATTTACTCCAATCAAAAACTATTTTTAATATGTTATACAGCATTATTTTTGCATTTTCTCTATATATATTTTCCTTATATACGCATTTTTAATGGAAATGATACTTTAAAATACGTTGAGAAAATAATTAAAAACGGGAAAAATTAAGAAAATTTATTCAAAAGTATTATAAGCAATATTACTCAATGAGAACTTTTAAAACATTACATAAAGCTACAAATTTAAAGATTCTAGAGCATCATCTCACAGGATTTGTTTATGCACCTTTATTAGAGGGCAAATGTATCATATCCTGAGAGAACAATGTGTAGGGCTCGTCAATTGTCTCCAAATGTCAGTAAAATCATACGCATGGGCGGCAAATTTATCGCCTTGAAATATGTTTGAAATTTATAAAATAGTAACGAAATATAATTTTTTGTATGAAATTCCACACATTTAAAAAAATTGTACTAATTATATTGTTCTACGTGCGGTATGGAATTCAAATGGAGTAACACTAAAAGTGTCTGGTACGGAAATTTTTTAATTAAAATGTTGAAATTTTAAATTTGCATGTTGTTCTCTGTTTTGAATTTATGTACTGGCGTATGTTACTGCTCACCAATAAAATAATATTTGACTTTTTTTTAAATTTTATAATTTTTAGATAGTTAAATTTCATTATAATATTTGTTAGTTCCTACTTTCTCTGTTTTCATCATTTATTTATTTATTTGGTCTCAATATTTTAATCTCTATGCTGAGTATATTTACTTATATAATAGTTGTTTTTCACGTAATGTAATAAATACTAATCTTCAATCATTATGTAGTAATGAACCTAATTAGGGTGTTATAGTCATAATTAATAATTTTTTATCTGTATAATAACGTGAATTATGTAATTGTAAAGTTAGATTTTTCTCTCAAATTTGTAGACCATATGAAGTTTTTTGACTCTAAATGAATAGTGGTACAAATTTTAAGGTTCTATTAGACCACTAAATTTTCCTTGCTGTTGTGAACTCTAACAATGTAAGCTATTTTTGCCTCGAGATAATTTTGCAGACTTAACATTTTGTATGTTTTTTTTTTCAATTTTAGAAATTTCTATAATTGTGTTTTTACAATGGTCGACCTATACACCCGAAATACCAGAAATTTGATATCCCATCAAAAAATAGGGTTACTTATACACCGGATATACAAGTTTGTTTATTTTCAGTTACACCCACCGAAAGATTTACCAAATGATTTACCAAGTGCCAAACAATGGCAAAAGTGCAGCAATCGGGCATTCAATATAACTAATGCATTTTCGTTAAATATATTGCATTGTGCATAAAAAGTATTTAAAGTATTAACTCATCTAAATAATAGTACTGATACCAAAATTACTTGCCATTAATATTTATATTTAGAGATATAAAGTTCATGAAAAATCAGAGAACAAATTATTTTGTTAAACATACCACATTGAGGCGGTTGCGCTCGTCAAGAGGATCCAAATCAGACGGAGGGAAAAGTGGTGAATGATGATGAGTTTCTGGCTCGTAAGCTGTATGGTAATCATACGTTAACATGTTCAAAAAGTCAGCATGCCTGGTGAGGAAAAAAAAGAATGGTTATTATTTTGAGTCAAATTGTCATTACACAGGGTTAGTCTGCGCAAGGTGGCAAAACTTACTGGGTGATAGAACGCAACTACATGAGCAATATCCGTTATAGAATGTGTGATCGGTACACAAGCAGTGAGAAGTTAAAAGGTACCTTTCCACTGTCACATTTAAAGAATTAATAGAGGAATAGGAAAAAAGATTTCAGAACACTTTTTATTCACGACACTCAAAGAAATTGCTCAAAAGCTTTTCCGCCACCTACAATACATCCTTTACTCGAGTCGCAGTCTGCGATGCAGCTGGTGGAAGATCGTTTGAGCATCACTTGGAGCAATTCTTGGTACATCGATTACATCTTCTTTTTTTGAGCAATTTATTTGTACATCATTCATATTCCCATGAATAAAAAGTTATATAATTGATGCAAAAAAATGGATATGAGTGATAGGATATGACACGGAAGTATGATTGATGTGGAAAGAATTGCTCCAAGAGTTGCTCAAAAGATCTTCCGGTAGCTGCAACGCAAACTGAAATGCGTATAAAGCCTGTATTATAACTGGCAAGGAGAGCTTTTGAGTAATTTCTTAGAGAACTTGAATAAAAAAGCTTTCTGGAGTATATTTTCTTACTCTTGTGTTAATTTTTTAAATGTGACAGTGAAAAACTACCTTTTAACTTCGCACTGCTTGTGTTCCGATCACACATACTATGACGGATATTGCTCATATGGATGCGTTCTATTACCAAGTAATGTTCTGCCACCTTGTTCAGTCAGAAATCAGCAGGTTTGGTAAAGGAAAAGAAGAATTTCATAATTTTAAATCAAGCAATAGTCATCATATTTCTACATAAAACAGCATGCCTGGTGATTAAAAAGAATTATTATTTTGAGTTAAGTAACAATAAAGTGAAAAAGTATCCCGAGTATAACGTTCAGTCTACACAGATAAGGAACAGTGAACAAAATAAATATAATAATAAATAAAATGAAAACCGAGAACATTAGTTTAACATGTAATAAAATTCAGTCTTAATGGTTCATGGGTTTAACCATAAATATGCTAATTAATTTATGATGACGATACTTTAAGTTGCGAAATGAAGCGTAATTACTCCGAATAAAGATGCCTGCTTCTCGACAGATTTGGATTCTTGACCCTCAAAATATAGACATTAAGTAACTGTGATCTGGTTAAACTTCGGTCCCAATATACTAGTCAGAATAAGTTTCAGTCTTTTAATCCTTTACTTTTTGAATATATTGCCATATTCCCTATTTAAGTTAATCAGAAAATTTTTTGCACATTTTTAAGCTAATTTATTCAAAAATAATTCATGTAGAAACTAACCATTTCAAATAATTCATTATAATTTAGTTTAATAGTCCTTGAAAAACTTTGAGCTGTAATGCTTGCAAGATTTTATACTATTTTGATCTATGTTACTTCAAGTACAAAATTTGAAGGAAATTGACCGAATAGTCTTTGAATCGATGATATTTCCTGAAGGTTGTCAATTTAAGGGTCAGTTAAAGACTACATTTAAAATTCGGTTTAAGGTTAAATTTTCAATTAAGAGCTATTCAACCAAATTCATTGAACTTTCAGATTTTGTCATTTAAAGTCTCATAATTTAAAAATGTTGTACAAACTTTTACATGCCTTACAGTTCAAAATGTTTTCATAATGAAAAATAGTAGATGATTGTTTTATTTTATATCCGGTGTTGAACAGTCGACCCAATTTTGAGGAATAACAAAAGACAAATTCGGTCTTTGGATGAATTATTTTCCCTCCCCATGTTTAAATGGTTAACAAAACTTAAATTTACCTAAAAAAAATATACGTTTATTATTATATTCAAAATTAATTATATTGTATTAAGATCAAATTGATTATATTTAGGATTTAACTCACGAAGCATAAATATTTTTTCTTAATAGGTAAAAATTCTATTACTAGTTCAAAAGTTATTGAATTGCTCTGATTTTATGTTGTGCATACATAAATAATGGAGGATAAAAAAGATAGTTTTTGTGGTTTAATCAGAAATGATACTAGTCATCATTTAAGCTACTTGTTTANTATTGCTATATTCCCTATTTAAGTGAATCAGAAATTTTTTGCACATAAGCTAATTTATCCAAAAATAATTCATGTAGAAACTAACCGTTTCAAATAATTCATTATAATTTAGTTTAATAATCCTTGAAAAACTTTGAGCTGTAATGCTTACAAGATTTCACATTTTGATCTATGTTACTTTAAGTACAAAATTTGAAGGAAATTGGCCAAATAGTTTTTGAATCGATGATATTTCCTGAAGGTTGTCAATTTAAGGGTCAGTTAAAGATAACATTTAAAATTCGATTTAAGGTTAAATTTTCAATAAAGAGCTATTCAGCCAAATTCATTGAACTTTCAGATTTTGTCATGTAAAGTCTCCTAATTTAAAAATGCTGTACAAACTTCCACATGCCTTACAGTTCAAAACATTTTCATAATGAAAAATAATAGATGATTGTTTTATTTCATATCCGGTGTTGAACAGCCGACCCAATTTTGAGGAATAACAAAAGATAAATTCGGTCTTTGGATGAATTATTTTCCCTCTTCATGTTTAAATGGTTAACAAAACTTAAATTTACCTAAAAAAAATATACGTTTATTATTATATTCAAAATTAATTACGTTGTATTAAGATCAAATTGATTATATTTAGGATTTAACTCACGAAGCATAAATATTTTTTCTTAGTAGGTAAAAATTCTATTACTAGTTCAAAAGTTATTGAATTGTTCTGATTTTATGTTGTGCATACCTAAATAATGGAGGATAAGAAAGATAGTTTTTGTGGTTTAATCAGAAATGATACTAGTCATCATTTAAGCTACTTGTTTATATTTTAAATGCATCATAAGATTTAGAACAATTTATTGTTCAAAAAAGACAGTATCTCCTCCAAAATTATTCTATATTAAGAAAATTGATAACAAATAATTCAGTTCAAATGATTGAAAATTAACGCACACTAAAATCTTTTTGAGCTTTGAAAATACACGGAACCTGCAGAGGATTGATATCCATTCAATATTTTCTAACCACAATGGAACTTCTGTAGTTTTTGAAGAAATTTCCTAGTACTGGCAAAGGCAATGAAGGAATATTTTGCGAAACTAAAAATTACATAATCTGTCCACTACTTCAAACAAATAATTTAAACAGATATATAAACGGTTAGACTGACAAATTGATTTGTTTTTTATTTGTGTTAAAAGTTTCATAAAAGCTTGATTTGTTTTTAAAATTTCAGCTTTCGCTTAGTACCTCTGAAAAAATATTTCGCAAAGATTTCAAATGTTGCATGGTATGATGTATTTGTAATTTTTAAGTATTTATAAGTATGTTTTTAAATTGGTTGTTAACAAAAAAATTAATTTTGTTAATAACTGACTTTGATATTTCTGGTACATCGAATCCTTGATCTATATAATCCTTGGTGGCAGGAACGGCAACAGAAAGAAGTAGTTTCTCTTTATCTGGTGAAAGATCTTCTTTATCTATGACTTCACGCAACTCCTGAAAGAATAAGACAATAAAATTATTTTTAAAATCACTGTTATTTACGGATGAACTTTTACAAATTGACTTCATAACAGTTTTTCTTTTGTATTATTAGAATAATTTAAGCTACCTTCATTACATTAACATACGAGCGTTGTTTTTAAAGTAAGGACCGTTTGAAAATAAAAACCAAACGCAAGAAAATTTCCGAGAAGCAAATTTATTTTCAGATTCATTTCTCCTTTTATCAGCATAGTTGCCAAGTTTGTTTAAACACTTACCATTTCTTACTACTACGTTTAGAATACCTTTTTCATACAAACTTGCCACCTACTCCGTTGACCAAGAGGTCACTGCCGTTTTCACGTATTTGTCATCGTTGTTGTGATTGCAGTCAAAATGATGCTTGAAATATCGGAAAAGATTAAAATCACTCAGATCAAGGTCTGGACTGTAGGGAGGGATGGTCCAAAACGTTCCAACCAAAAGAGTCCAATAAAGCTGAGGAGAGAGTCATTTTCATAAAGTAGCAAAATTCCATGTGAGCATGGCAGGGAATTTTACTACTTCACAAGTCGTCACTTCACAAATCTGCTAAGTGAATGTACGCAGCAGACAAGATGTTTGCAGACTAAAAACACATCATTGGCCGTATCGCTTGAATGATGGGTGTTTTGTTAAATTTTGAATATTTTAAAGACTTAAAACTGACTGTACAGTTTACCTGCACAGCTGCAATTGAACACAGTTGATCCTGAGGAATGCCGAGACACGACACAAGCACTTGTTGCGACGCAAGCGTCAACTATTAGTGTACGCGACAAAACGGCCCTTACTTAAAAAGCAACCCTCGTACACAAAACCTTTAAATGTTATCTCCTAAGTGACATATAGCGAAGAGTTTCTCTAATTGGGCCATCTTCATTATTTCGTTACTGACTGTTCGTTATTTTATTAGTTATTGACTGTTTATAGTATACTTTATGAAATTTGAAAATCGACATTGAACCATTAAATTAATTAATTTTACCCACTCAAGCCAATCATAAAAATTTTATAAGTTATGGTATTATTTACTTCGTCATATATAACGTCGTCGTATATTACGTCGTTATAATGTCGTCATATGTCTCTATGGGGCGCTTCCCTGTTATGGGCTGTTTCTTCATGTACTTCTGAACAAGTTGTTATAGATAAGCACCCCTAGCCATGCACAGCGGCATTTCCGGGGATGGGTTCCTATGCAATTATAATCACGCGAATGCTTCCTAACTCCCTTAGAATTTTGTCGTACCATTTACACTATCCCATGTTATCTATAGCGTTTTTAAAATGGTACATTTCGACAAAAACTGGACTAAAAATTCATTGAAAAAAGCAATCAGTTGCTTAAGAGCAAAACTAATTTCATATTTGAAATACCCATACCCGAATAAAGCAAGCTCAAGTACTTGCATAAATGCAACAAAAAACCTCTTCCCCACTGTAATTAATTCATCAAACCAAGAAGACGCTGTCCTACTTCTTACTATCTGTACTACATTAAACTTGAACTGAAAACGAAGAATTTAGTTGAATGATTCACCTAATTCGTCTTGAACTGTTATTCAAAAATAATAAGTTTTCTTACACAACAACGGCGTTGTGGTGTCACCAACTTCAATGAAAACAACACCTTAACGATGATTAAACTTTACCTTGACGAGTAAGGCGTATCCACTTTTGTCAGTGGTGTGGTTTCCTCCTTCTCTGAAAGCAGGGTATTCCCAATCTAGATCAATGCCATCAAAACCATGTTCCCTGAGGAACAACAAGGCGCTGGAGATGAAGGTCCGGCGATTGTCCTCGGATTCCACAAGTTTGGAAAATCTCTTGGATCCCTCGTTCCATCCACCCACCGCAATCATTGTTTTCAGGTTCGGATTGTAGGCTTTTAAACTGACAAAGCTCCTGTAATTGCCTGAAAAAAAGAACGTTATTAAGGGTAATGAAACATCACTTGACTGAACATTTTTGATTGAAACATCACAGAATTCTTGGTGATACATAACACAGGGGGGGTAAAGTTATGTCGCATGAGATTTTTTAGCAGATCTTAATATCTTTCATATCGCTGATTTCAAATCTGAAATTGGTTTCTCTTTCCAAGTTACATTTTTAATGATTACATTAGTTAATGGTACATTGGTCGAAATGTACAAGTTTAAAAATGTTATATACAAAAAGATGTAACGTAAATGATGAGACGAACGATTAAGGGAACACATCATCAAGAGAAAAACTTCATTAAAATCCAATGTCGTCAGACGCCACTAGAAATGCTTCCTTACTATGAGCTGTTTCTTCGTGTGCCTTCTAAATAGGTCAAAATTGGGAAGCACCCCTGATGGTCTAAGACAACTTTTCAGGGTTGGGTTCTTAAGCAATTTTAATCCTGATATTGTGCCCTTTAAAAGTTTGATAAGATATTGTGTCCTTTAAAAGTTTGCCATAACATTTACACGATCCCCTGCTACATACAACCTTTTTAAACTACTAAATTTTGGGAAAAAAAACATATAGATTCATTGCATCATTAGATCAAAAGTTATTCAGGGTGGTCGGTTTGTATTTTTTGCACACCATAAAATTTAGAAATCCAAACATTTATTTCATGCTTTACATAATTTTACACTTTTCTTAAAAATTTACCTCTTTGAAATCACTTTGATTACGTTGATATTATGGTCAATCCCTAAACTAAAAATTAACTAAGGGAGTATATTAAATTTCTCTGTAAAATTGATTAAGTTGGAATATTTATCCTTTTCATATTGGTATATTTTCTTATGAAATTCAACAATCTTTCTCGTGAAAATCCAATCATTAATTTCCATTAAAATTTTTAGTACATAATATTTTACGTCAAGTTTAGAAATCAAAAAATTGAAATTATATATTATGCTTTATAGAATTTCACACGTTTGCTGAAAATTTACTTCTTTGAAATTACATTGTTTATTCTAACGCTAAGGTCTACATAAAAGTACAGTAAGTCTGATTGTTTTCTTACCTTGTTCTATGTCATTGTAAGGGTCAAAAGGTTGTATTTTGTACTCTTCAGATAAAGAGGCAAAAGCGTAAATGACATGGGTACATAGATACGGGTTTATGTTTTCTGGAGTAAACTTTGCTAATCCGGGCCGATACACAGCCCAATTGGAGTAATAACATACGAGTTTAGCTTCTCTGCTCTGGCCTTTATCAACCTCATCTGGAAAAAATAATAGGTTCGAAGTATTAGACTTAAATACTCACAAGTTTTAAACAAAATTTCAAACAGAATCGAAAAGAGTACTCTTTTGGAAGATAAATTTTTTGGAGATTCGAATTATTATGAAAAATTAGCAGCATGTTACTGAGATGAATAGCAGCTAACTAAACTGAATGGGGTTTTTTTTTTAAGTTTTATGGATATTGCGTGTTCTTTAATAATAATCATTAAGTTATAAATAGCACACGCATATTACAGACAAACAGTTTTATTCATGTTTGTCAACATACACGAATGTATAAAAATATAACCAAATGCTAGGTCGTTGTCTAAATGTATAAGACTATAACCAAATGCTAGGTAGTTGTCAAAATGCATAAAACTATAACTAAATATTAGGTCATTGTATGAATATATTAAAATGTAACCAAATGTTAGATCTGTCAGAATGTATAAAAATATAACCAAATGCTAGGTCGTTGTCTAAATGTATAAGACTGTAACTAAATGTTATGCCGTTGTCTGAATATATAAAAATACGAGGGTTGTAAATTAAATAATGGCAACTTAACCTTGAAACTCACAGAAGGCCGGGCATGCGCAAATTGGATACGGGAGCGGTGAGGTGGCGCTGTTGTCGATGTGTAGAGTGCAAAAACAGGTCGATTTGCTTAGAAGGGTAGTTGTTGTGTGGCGTTAAAGTGAGGAGTTTCGTTTCCGTCGCTCTAAAGTATGTTTTCAAAAGATGATCAGCGGTCGTGGCTACAATCGAGCTTGCCCGTGGCAAAAATGCAACAGAATGCTATTGAGGATTAGTGGAAGCCTGTGGAGCAAATGTTTTACCGTATAGGACAGTAGCACGATGGGTTCAAGCATCTCGTCTTTTTTCGTCATTAAGCTTTTTCACAACATGCTTTAGAGCGATGGAAACGAAACTCCTCACTTTAACGCNCCTAGATGCAATTAGATTTAAGTATTAGTGAAGCACGTGTCGATCCACACGTGTTGATTTAGACTTGAACTAGAATAGTAAATTGTTAATTCTAATTTTTTCTTAATTAATTTCATAATTAAATTAATGAAACGGTTCGATAGTGATGAGTAATTATCAAGGAATATTAATCATTTTTCTCCACTAACTAGTTATTCAAATTCACAACGCAATTCAAATTAATGAAAGACACATTTTTAGGTACTGTTATATGTCTCCATAAAGCAAATATAACACATACATAAAAGTTTCTTACCTTGTTCTATGTCATTGTAAGGATCAAAAGGCTGTATTTTGTACTCTTCAGATAAAGAGGCAAATGCGTAAATGACATGGGTACATAGATACGGATTTATGTTTTCTGGAGTAAACTTTGCTAATCCGGGCCGATATACAGCCCAATTGGAGTAATAACATACGAGTTTAGCTTCTCTGCTCTGGCCTTTATCAACCTCATCTGGAAAAAGTAATAGGTTCAAAGAATTAGACTTAAATACTCACAAATTTTAAATAAAATTTCAACAGAATAGAAAAGAGTACTCTTTTAGATAATAAATTATGAAATTAAGCATTGTTTGGAGATTCGAATAATTATGAAAAATTAGCAACATGTTACTGAGATGAATAGCAACTACCTAAACTAAATGGGTTACTTTTTCAGTTTTATGGATATTGAGTGCTTTTTAATAAAAATCATTAAACTCTAAATAGCGCATACATATTACAGACAAACAGCGTTTATTCATGTTTGTCAACATACACGAATGAATAAAAATATAACCAAATTCTAGATCTGTAAGAATGTATAAAAATATAACCAAATGCTAGGTCGTTGTTTTAATGTATAAAACTGTAACTAAATGTTAGGTCTTTGTCTGAATATATAAAAATATAACCAAATGTTAGATCTGTCAGAATGTATAAAAATATAACCAAATGCTAGGTCGTTGTCTAAATGTATAAATAAAACTATAACTAAATGTTAGGTCATTGTCTGAATATATAAAAATATAACCAAATGTTAGGTCGTCTGAATGTATAAAAATATAACCAAATGTTTGGTCGTTGTCTAAAAGTATAAAACAATAACCAAATGTTAGATCATTGTCTGAATATATGAAAATATAACCAAATGTTAGGTCATTGTCTGAATATATAAAAATATAACCAAATTTTAGGCTGGTGCTTAATACAATTTAGTCGAACTAACCACGTTTTTCTGTTTACATTCTTAAAAACGCAGTGTTTATACCCAAATAAAAATACCCAATTAACTGCGAAACAATTTCAAGCTGCAATCAAATGAAATAGAATAATTGAAAGTTATGCATATAGGTACTTTTAATTGCATTACAACTTCTTAACTAGCTATCAATCATATTTGAAAATCTTTGAGTCAGAACAAATTAAATGACATTTTGTAAAGAGTTTTTAAGTTTGAAAAAATTTTATGTTCGGCTCTATATGAAATTATTTAATTGGTTTCAGTTCATCATAAAGGGACTGAGGCAATATTTTGAAGAGTTCTGGTTTTTCCAAAGGGGACAGTTTTATAGCAAACTGACCCTTTGTGCTGTTTCCAGATAAGCACTTCACAAGTTTTCAAAATTCGCATGCAATAACAGCACAAAACTCAGAAACATCGCATTGCCTGCATGAAAATCATTGTCTAATTCCCCCCAAAACGTTCTTTTAGAAATATGGTTTTTCCTTAAAAAGCCACAGCCTTCATATGATTCATCATATTTTTGGAATTTTATTTGCTCTTAGCTATTTATTGGCACAGTTTTCTTAAATTATCACATGCAGCAACTTCTTCTCTACGGCGATGAAATTAAAGGAATACTTGTCATTCTAAACAGAATGCATAGAACACTTTCGCTCCGTATGAAATTTCAATTTCCTCTATCAAATTACATATGGTTGGTATGGTAAATTAAGATCGATGATCTATGTTTTCATCATCAAGCGAAAACTACTGTGAATGGATTTTTAGCTAGCCTCGAACCAACTCCTGGAGGGAAATTTCAGCTTCATTTAGATTCCATACGATTGCCCTCCGCTTATTGAATAAGTATGTCATTGATTAAAATTGAAAACAACCGATAGACCAGAAATAATTCGCAGAAATAGCTCTTTCACTTTTTATTTGATTAAGTAAATTCAAAATGCCTCGCAGGTTTATATTTATTGATTTAAGTAGGGTTACCATGGTGCAGTCACTCAATCTTGCTAGAATCAAGATAATCTGGTTTTAGGAAAAAGGAAACATTGTAATCCTCATAGATTTAATCGTATTACTTTCATAGATATCTTGTAGGAAATGTCTTTTTAATCTATTTAGGAGATTTAAAAGTTTGAACGTTGAATAAAAATGATTTTCCTCTTGTGAAGTTAAAAACTTTTCTATTTGAGTTCTATATGTACAGAAAATTGAAACATTAATATGATACTGCTTTGAAATTATATAGTAGTTAGACAAAATAACACAATTGAATATTAAAATATTAATAAATAAGTAATATACAACAATGTATAGTTGATATTGTATTCATTATTATAACTCTACAATATTCATTATTATCATAAATGTTCAATATAAATAACAATATCATCTATTTAGAAGATAAATTCATAAATCAGACAATATAAATAAAATCTAACTACTATATTTAATTCTATACAGTGTAATAAAACTGTATACTAAGTCGGAATTGAAAAAATAAAATTTCTATACTTCATACTTTTTGCATAAAGCATGAAAAAGTATTAAAAATTCTTCAGTTTTTCTTTTCTCGTTCTATTTAATTTAGACTTTAATTACAGAAGTATAATTTAGAGATAACTTATCTCGAACTAAAGTGAAACCTATTTCCCGTGTACTTAGATTATTTTCTTATCCTAATAATTATTTTCTATTCCAGCATCAAATAATAAAGGTTATTAAAATTCGAAAATAGAATTTTTGTAAAAATAATCATTTATTTTATTATTTAAAAAGTTTAACCTGGTCTTCTCGATCAAAAATTCGATCTTTTGGATTAAAACAAAGGAATCATGATATTTCTAAACCTAAAAACTATCTAACTGCTTCGATAATTTTTCGCTATTTTTAATTAATTACTAGCCTTCCCCGGCGATCAACTGATCCACTTTTTTAAAAAGTAGGATTTCAAGTATTTCGAGATTTAATATCGTACTGTCAATATTTCAATACCAATATATCGTACCAATGCCAATATATCGTACCAATGCCATTATATCAAATCAAGACACTATTTATGATAAACTCATAAGTATAATGAACTCATAATGCTTAAATGAGAGTGAATTTAATTTTTTGTCTCTTACATGTTGGTATGGTATCATGATAAATTCAATATTAAAACGTTTAGTGTAACATATACTAACATTAAAGAAAAGCTAAATTTCCCAATGGCTCCTTAGAGGGATAATAAATCAAATTGACTTTAGTAACCTTGTCAAAATCAAGCGATGCTCTTATTTGTCATTATTAACTATGCGAGTCAATGAATAGCATTTGTAAGGGTTTCTTCACCAAAACAAAACGAAATTTATCTGTTATAAATTTCTTTAAGTTATAACAATGCGCAGATCTAAAAAAGTAAACAATAAATTTTCAAGCAATAAATTAAGCTTAATGACACTGTTCAAGAGTTATTTACTTCTTACACTTCAAGAAGAAGACCACGAATACCCACACATGAGACCAATGACGTCAGAGTCAGCTGATCGCTTATAAACACAATGGCATGCTAAAGTTGAGTTAAGTTTCTTCATATAAGTTAGAATGTTAATTAGCGTGATGTTAATTGAATACAGAGTCGTATCGCACATCGAATTTGTTGAAATATAATTCTTTCTCATCTACATCTCTTACTTAACTTAAATATATTATTTGCTTATGTATTTTATTTCAATCGTGATACATTTTTGCTTCGTGTACCCATCAACTTCAATGCATAATTAGTTTGTTTATATTCAACATGGCTTCGTGGCTGTCTTTGTGCTACGTAAGAATTATATAGTGAAATATTTGAAATCTTCGTCAAGGAATATAGAATGTATCACTTAAGAGAATTGATACTTGACTTGCTTGGCTAACTTGAAATAGAATGGAAAGAGCAGTTGCTAACGTAAACAAATGCCATGTTTCAACAACAAATCACGATCGAAATACCCCACAGCCAATGAGTATTTACCTTAAAAAGCTAAAACCAGCCTTTACATTTATTTAAAACGTCTAATTAGTTATTGAAATTGAGCCAATTTCAGTTTCATTTAACTTTTAGTAGCCTTGTGAAAAACTTTTGCCATTATTGAAATTGAAGTTGTCCTTCTGAAATTGTTTTGTTTATTGAAATTGTCCTTTTATGGAATTTTATGTCTGCATCTTATTTGTGTTAACGTCCATGGTTACCAGTTACTCAAGTGTTTGGGAAAAATCCATTTAAAGAAATGGTAAGCAATGTGGAAATTTTGAAAACATATAAAAAAAATAATTTGATAGCAGATAGATAAAAACAAAGATAATAGAAATTCAATTAAAAAGAATCGTAAGAATGTAAAAATTATTACGAATCTAAAAAATTACAAAATGTGATTTTTAATCAAAGAGAAAGTTTAGATGGGACTAGGACTGGGCTATAAATCGATATATCGCGACATATCGATTTAACGCCTATATCGGCAAACCGATACAGCGANCGATATATCACGATATATAATTTCTAATATCGCCCAGTCCTAGATGGGACAAAAAAATTATTAACTCATTTTGGTATGTACTCACAATTTTGTGAAGATATCAAAGTACATTTCGTTTATTTTTTCCTTGATATTCTGAATCATCCTAATCACTTCCATAATTTAGCAATTAAGTGAAAAGAAAGAGAGAGGGGAATCGTTTTCTTTTCAAGGGTCATTGCTCTACAAAATTCATGCCTTCTAGGTATAAAATAGATGAAATGAAAACCACTCCCAAAGTCAAGGACATAAAAAAAAACTTTCGATTTAGAAACTAGGTGACATGCATCACATTAATACAATATTAAAATAACTCTACCTTTTTTGCTATTTTCAATTAATTTAGCTAAAAAAATTATAATTTCTAGAAAGATTTCAGAGGTTTGAAACTGAGAAATAATGTTTCTTACCTCCTCACTCTCAGAAGTAAAATTTTCATTTTCGACAATGCAGTAGTCTTGAACTTATATTTCGTTACTTTTGATATTATTTCGTTGAGAAATAAAATTACTTTTTGAAGCAAAACATGGACTTTTGAACAATTGAAGTAAATGTTCTCTTTATGTGATATTTTAATGCTTTCTGAGAATTTATTAAATTTTTTTATTGATTTTAAAATCATTCGCATTATTTGACGCGATGGTACATAGGGTATCTTTACACGCTTATAAAGTTTCAATTCCTGCAAGG